AAAGGAACTCAATTGTTATGAATCCCTTCCCTGGTAATCTCATCAAACAGAGAAGATTAGACTCCTATCACAGGAGAAGAGGCTGGAGCTCAACACCATACCTAGACAAAAAGACTGTCACCTATTCTGAGGGTCAATTTATCTTTCCTTAAAATCGTTTACTCTTAATTGCCTGCATCTCTCTTCCCTGTCCCCCATGAAGAGAGTAGATTAGCTTCTGGATCTTACTGTGTTTTGGGGAGCTCACTTTTCTTTCATGTGATGCCTTTGTATACATAATAAATTTTCCATACATTTTTTCCTATTAACCTGTCTTCTGTCAGTTTATTTTGTAGATTCTATTATTTTGAGCCCTAAGAGGGTAGAGTGAAAGTCTTCCCTCCCTTATACATCTCATTTAAGCATGGCTATCTAACAAGGCATATATATATATATATATATATATATATATATCATCTCCTTACAGATGAGAAAACCGAGGCTCTGCAAGACAAGCAAAAATCACTTGTCCTAAATCATACAGCTGGTAAGTAAGTGAAAAAGCTGAGATTCAAACCAGTATCTAAGTCCAGAAGTCTGCATTTCACCCACTATCTGCTTATCACTAAGTGGATCAGAGAGTCGCCTCTCTTTCCTCTAAGCCCATTTATTCTGTAGATTAACTGTAACTAAGAGGTATTTAGTACCAGCCCCCCCCAAATCCATAGCATCTTCTACTCAGTTGGTGGGTATTCAGGGGTTGTTACCTGTTTTTTTTTTCTTGTACTAGGGATTGAACCCAGAGGTATTTTACCACTGAACTATACCCTGGGCCTTTTTATTTATTTTGAGATAGGGTTTCACTAATTTACCCAGGCTGGCCTCTAACTTCCAATTCTCCTACTCCATCCTCCTGAGTAGCTGGTATTATAGGCATGTGCCCTTCTTTTATTTTTTTCAAGACAGGGTCTCACAATGTTGCCCAGGCTGATCACCAAATCATGGGCTCCAATGTTCCTCCCATCTCAGGCTCCCAAGTAGCTGGAATTACAAGCCTGTGCCACTCTACCTCACTTGTGAATTTATTTTAAATATTTATTATTCAGGGGTGTCAACTAATATTATTTTAATATTAGGCCCATACAAACAATAGTAGGAAAGAATACTTGATGGAAAAGAAAAGCCAGATGAGGTACTGCAAACCAATTATATTTGAATTTCTGGATTATTTACTTTTCTGAATTATCTGCAACTCCCACAGTAGCACAAATAAAAGAGTAATTGCACAATTATAATTTAGTTCTATTTCCTTTTTATCTTTCCATAATATGTTATGTAGCTTGGCACCCAGGAGTGCTTCATAAGTGGTACTGACAGGCATCCTTTGATTCAATTCTTGTTTTGGAATTCTAGGTAGTCTAAGTCACTGTGTCTAACTTCATGCCCTATTCATCTGATAAACAATTCTGGCACCTACTGTGTGGCAGATGCTATGCTAGGCCCTGGGAATACCATAATGGAAAAATCTTTTTTCTTCTTTTTGTTACCATCAAGACACTCTCTGTTGCTGATTGTGATGGTGCTTACCTATACTCTCAGCTGCTCAGGAGGTTGAGGCAGGAGGATCACATGTTTAAGGCCAGCCTCATCAACTTACTGAAGTACTGTCTCAAAATAAAAAATAAAAAGTGCTAGAGATGTAGCTCAGTGGTAAAGTGCCCCTGGGTTCAATCCCCACTATTGCCTTTAAAAAAGGGGGTAGGGGGGTCACAGTTTAGTGGAGAGAAAACCATGTGAAACATTCAAAATATGATGTGGTAACTGGTATCATTGAATCATATTTAGGGTGCAATGAATGCATAAAGGAAAAATCTATTTGGACTGAGTTATAGTGCCATACTAAAAACATGTGAGTTGATTCATGAAGAATTTATCAGGTTTCTAAGGTGGGGGCATTTAGGTAAAGGAACTAGTTATGCAAATGTGCTGAAGCGTAAGAAGTAACAACAAATTTAGTTTTATGGGAGCATGATTTCTTTGTAGGATGGTTGAAAACAATGCTGGAGAGGCAGATTATAGGTATGTTTAGGAGCTGATATTTTGTCTCCTGTAGTACATGGTGTCAGACAGGTAAAGTAAATGAGTAATAAGGACAGTACTGGAGACCAGAGATAAAAGATAGGAATGGCTGTGTGGAACTTGATTGCTCATGTTTGTCTAAGGGGGCAGTTCTAGCTAAACGTAGCCATATGGCTAATGTGGATCCAGTGTTAGCAGGTCTTTTGTTTTGTTTTTAAATAGAAAAGCAGGAATCTATATTTTAAAAAATGTGAAATCTCCAGATTTCTAAATGTTGACAACTGATTTTTTTTTTTTTTTTTTTAGTACTGGGTATTGAACCCAGGAATGCTTAACCACTGATCTACACTCCTGGCATTTTTAGTTTTTATTTTGAGACAGGGTCTAAGTTGTTGAGGCTGGCTTCAAATTTTCAATCCTTTTGCCTCAGCCTCCAGAGTCCATGGGATTACAGGTGTGCACCACCATGTCCAGGTGGTTTTTTAAATTCAAAGCATTAGCCAATATTGCACCGAATACAACATGTCTGTTTGTTACATGTGGCCTGTAGGCTGTCATTATGAGACCTGTGTTGTAGGGGATAAGGCTTGTGGAAACATAGAAGGTATGGGGATGTATCTCAGTAGTAGACTACTTGCCTAGCATGCACAAGGTCCTGAGTTTGATCCCTGGCATTCCGCCCTCTCACTAAAAAAAAAAAAAAAAAAAAAAGGCAGAGGAAAAAAGAAAAACCACATAAAAACCTCACTGGATTGCTCCACTGAACTATTTCTACTGCAGATCAAGTCAAATGTTCTTTCAGTGGGGCACCAAAGTGAGGTCCCAGGTCAGATGCAATTAATTCCCAAGGCTTTGAGGCAACAGTGTAAACTAGGGTCTCAGTCAAGCTGTTAAAAGCCTGGTAGAACATGGTAAGCTGAGACCAGTATGGCCCCTGAACATCATTACCACCACCACTACCACTAGAAGATGGATGTCATTTGTTCCCCTTTCATTATGGAAGAAGAAGGGGTGGCCTCTTTAAACCAAGTATGTAACAAAGTCATCATAGGCAGTGATGAGACAGATAAAATACGATTTAATATCTGTTCAAACTCTTCATTTTTCATTTGGAGAAACTAAGGCCCTCCCAAAAGCATGGTGACTTGCTAAGAAAGACCCAGCAAACTAGTGGCAGAGTCAGGATTCCTGACTGGTCTAACATCCTTTCCAATAATCCTGGACTGTGATAATTAAGGTAAATCAGCCTGGCAGTTTTCCTAGCATCTAGAATTCCTGGTCTGGACAAGCAGGACTTGAGAGCAGCTGTTAAAAGTCTTCCTTTCCCCTTATCTGTATTATGATGATGATATTCTTTGTAAACTTTCTATTTCATGGATCAAGGTTAAAGAGAGGACAAAAAGATGTTTTTGAAGCACTGAGACAATTCACAAAGGCTAGGGAAGAAAAGTTGTCTGTGACTAAACTGTTTAAGGCTTATGACCTCTGTGCTCTCTGTACTGACCTTCCCGCTGCATGCTTTTGGTTTTGTTTTGGTTCTTTTCTTTTGTCTTCTTTTCTATTACCCTCTATATTTTTCTTCTCTCTCTCATCGGCCTAGATCTTAGGCCTACCCATAAGTGCTCCAGGGCATCACTAAACCTCCTTGATAGCACTCAGGATGTCTGCTTCAAGTCAATAAAATTGCTAATTATTCATTCCTCAATAAAATACGAATGAGAGCACATAGCGGCTAAAACACCATGCATGATTCCTCTGCTACAATCATTTAGCTCTCTAAAATCTGAGACTAGTAACTCTTGTCAATTGTGACTCTTGACTTAAATAATCCTTTCCATCCTTCATTTCAGGGTCTATTGTTCTGACATGTGCCACTTTTTTCCCCCTCTGAACCCGTTTCTGATTGGTGCAGCTGTTGAAGATGCTGCAGTTGCAGCAGTGTACATCTGGAACATTTGGCTGACTTGTTGAACTTCCCCCAGGGAGTACTCCAGGGGAAGGATGGGAGGGGTGGAGAGGCCAGAACAGTTGCCTGCAAATAGAGTTGCCAATAGTGTCTGGCCATTCTGTGGACCACCCTTGTAAAAATCCACCTTACTGTGCCCCTCAGTTTTCCCATTTGCTCCTTGAAGACACATGTTCTCCACTTAAAAGTTCCCCAGTAGTGGAAGAGGAGAAACTATTCTGATTGTGGATTTTCTCATGCAGCACCTTCTGCTTTGTGAAAGGGATCAATATATATTTGTTAAATTAATTGGTGTATCAAGAAATCCTCAGAGGCAGTTTTTGCCTTTCAAAGGTCAATATCACTTCAGTTCCACTTGGCACAAGTAGCCTTCTCCATGACTTAGATGGAGCCCCCAGACACACTCCAGGAGGGAGGCTGCTTGATTCCCAGTCCCTTTGGCTCCCAGGCTCCTAGGTCTCCTTTTCTTCTGGCGAGCCATTGGATTGCAAACACAGCAGGCATGGTTTCATTCCAAACCCAGAACTGTTTTAATTAGTTTAACGTCTGTTAAACGCTTTGAAGATTGAAAGCAACAGATAAGTACTGGATGGTGTTATTAACAACTGCAGTTAATTGCAAACATTTCTATTAATGCTAGTTCCTGCCTCCTTTTCTTTGCTGTACCTTCCTTCCAAGGTTCCAAAATTCTTCTCAGCCCCCCTTCCCTCCCCCGTACTGGCGCTAAAGGGTTAAACCGGGGCGGAGTCCAGAGATGAACGACAGCAGGAGTCACCAACTGGTACGGGGCAAGCGGGAAGAGCTGGGTGGGGCCCTCAGGGAGAGGCGAACTCTCACGCCCCCAGGCCCCGCCCCGCGGCCAGAGGCCCGGGTAGAACGGCAAGGGGCGGGGCGCCGAGGCTTGGCGGGCTCAGTGGTTGGGCGTCCTGGCAGCCCCTTGAGGGATGGGGCGGGGTCGACCGGGACCTCCTCCCTCATTCCCTCGGCGGGCGGAGCCGCCCCTCTCTCCCGCCCCTCCTCCTCCCTTTCCCACCCCTTGGAGTGGAGCTGCACATGCGGCTGCTCCCTGTTCCGTCCCGCCCAGCCACCGTCGCGCAGGCACGGGTCCCTGCAGCCCCCAGCCGATGGCAGGACAGTAGTCGCCTGTCAGGGGTTGTGAACGGCAGAGGCAGACGCAGCGGCTCCCAGGCCTCAGAGAGTGGGTGTCTCCGGAGGCCATGGGCTACCCTGAGGTAGAGCGCAGGGAACCCCTGCCTGCGGCAGCGCCACGGGAGCGGGGGAACCCAGGCTGCGGCTGTCGCGGGGCCCCTGCCCGGGCGGGCGAAGGGAACAGCTGCCGGCTCTTCCTGGGTTTCTTTGGCCTCTCGCTGGCCCTCCACCTGCTGACGTTGTGCTGCTACCTAGAGTTGCGGTCAGAGTTGCGGCGGGAACGGGGAGCTGAGTCCCGCCTTGGCGGCCCGGGCACCTCTGGCACCTCTGGCACCCTGAGCAGCCCCGGTGGCCTGGACACTGACGGTCCCATCACCCGCCACTTTGGGCACCCGTCACCTCAACAGCAGCCGTTGGAACCGGGAGAAACCACACTTGCCCCTGACTCCCAGGACCGGCACCAGGTGAGTCACCTAGTAGGGGCGGCGGTGACGGTGGAGGCCCCCTTCCCTGGTGAGTAGGGCGGGGGCCCTCCACCGCAAGGCCCGGAGGGTACTCTGCCACTTGGAACCAAGTTAGAGGGCAGGACCAGGGAGGGGGCAGACGAGCCGGAGAGAGGTTGTCCAGGGCAGGTTGTCTGTCCTGGGTCGCTGGCTCAGCTCGCTCAGACTCTCTCAGGTCCCCTTGACTTGGAAACTCTAGCCTGCGCCCGCCGCCCGGGGCTATGTGCTGCCTTGGGAAAAGTTGGCGACGCTCCCGCCCGGGCTCGGCGAGGAGGTGCCCGCGCTGCCCCCCTAGCCGACTAACGGCGAGCAGCTTGGCCCTTCTGCTCTTGCTGAGATTCTCTGCCCGCGGTGCTTGTTTTTTCGCGTCCAGAGTTGATGCCAGCACTAGCAAACTCTTCTTTGGAGTTGGAGTTGTAAACAGCTGAAATAACTGCTCCACGCCCGTTGAAACAACTTTTAACCGCACTTTCAGCGAGGGGTCCTTGTGCGCTGACCAGAACGTGGGCTTGTTCACACTTACCTGCAATTTGAGACTGATTGTCCTCGGCGTTCTAGTGAGGATCAGCGCCCCTGAGGAATTCTGGTAGAAATATGCCGTCTTGCTAGACAACTTCTGAACAGCAGTTTAAAAAATCTATGGAAATAAAACTCACCCTTTGCATGCCGGTTCTGACTTATTTTTTATTATTTGGATGGGGGTGTTGCTTTTTGGAAGGTGGGAGGGAAGCGCTTTCGTTACTGCTAGCTTAAGAACAGGAATCTACCAATGGAACTCAGGAGTAGTCTCCCAAGTGCAGGTTTTTTTTTTTTTTCAATTTTTATGGTGTTTGTGCCTCTATTAGCATACCATTAACTTTGGTGTTTCACTTCTACTTTCTCCTAGCTCTTTATTCAAGTAAATTTAGTGCAGTAAATATAAGTATTATCTTGATTGCCATATTTTGTCTTACATGTGAAACTTAGAAGAAGCATCCAGTGATCCTTTGGAGCTGGTTAAAGGAAAATTGTGAATTTGTACTTGGAGAAGACTGCAAGTTGTGCAAATAAGTTCCTCAAGTTGAGGGAACTCAGCCTTCTATACCATACCTACTACTATATCCAAAATCATTGTCACAATTCTTAAACCTTATTTGTGCTACTTTGTCTTTCCATCCAAAGTTGTATGATTGATAGTGGCATCACATTCATGATACTTACTGCGATGTTGTGACTGTCATTTTTCTTTTTTACAATGTGCCTTGTAAACTTGCCCTGAGCCTTAAAATGTCTTGCTAGCACACTCCAACTTATATAACAGATTATCAAAAAAAGAATCAGCAGACATGCTTCTCATACTTGAAACTTTAAACACTGTAGGTAAATGATAATTAGCTAGGATTCTGGTTCCTTTATTTACCCCCTTCTCCATGCCCAATAGAAATGCTTAGCAGCTGAACATTGATATTCTGGGAAAAGATGAAGGAATTCATCTTTCTTAGTCAAATGGTGGCCAAGACTTTTTGGCATTCAGGATGGACAGAGCCATGTTTATAGACTGAGGATTAGTAGACAGCTGTACTCTAGGGCTTCTGTGATGGCATGAGACTCTCACAGGTTTGCGATGACATTTTAGTTGCCTGCCCTTTGGGTAGCACTAAAATACTTTTGTCTAGGTTTAAAACAAAACTTTGTCTTGTGTCCTTTATTGTTTTCATCTTTCTGAACAGTAGAAGCAAGGATACTGGCTCTCTAGGTTTGTTGACATAAATTTTGAATTGGAGGTTCTTAAGAGTCGTAAGGGGCCACCTAAGTCCATTTTATTTTTTTTTTTTTTTTTTTTTTTTTTTTTTTTTTTTTTTTTTTTTTTTTTTTTTTTTTTTTTTTTTTTTT